CTCCCCGGCTGGGAGCGGAGCCAGCGCGTCCCGCACCTGGGAGCGGCGCGTCTGGGCACTGGCGGGAGAAAGAGGGAGAGAGGAAAAAAAAAAAAAAGTCCGGGGAAGAAAAAAGACGACGGACACACACCGCCGAAACTCTGCCAGACAGACAAACGGCCGGTCCTAGGTACTGGGGAACTTCGCAGCTCTTCCCGAGAGGCTTACGCGTAGATTAACAAATTAAAGCGAGTGATCTTCCACTTTCCCATAATCAGCGCAGCCAGACTCCGCATTTTGTAGCGCAGGAGGAAAAACCCTCCCCTACTTCTGCAATACCCCTTATGTTACCAAGATCAGTCGTTTCAGACAACACCGTATGCAAGAAAACATAAAATGATCAAAGAAAACTTCAAGAGATAGAGCGATTTTAACTAGTGCCTTACAGGCAGTTAAATTGGATTCAGTCTTTGGAAAATACAGACTATGTCACTCCTTCCTCTATTCAGCCCAACAGCTCAAAGATAAGACAGAAAATTAATTACTGGCCAGATCCCTGAACGGGGCTCCACAAGGACTGCCTCACTCACTATCGGTTAGGTGAACCAGTTGTCAAGACCTAGTATTTAAGTGCTTTAATCTACTTTAGACTGAAGGAAGTCAATAACCCCTGAGGGCTCAGCAGGGATTGTGCATTAGGCCTTTTGGCTGAAAGCATCCAAAATCCGTGAAAGTCCTGGTTTTGTGTTTAAATCCTTTCTTGGACCTCACCCTAAGTAACATGTATAAAGCTTCAAACCCAGAGCCGGAATTCAGGTTTCATAAGACCAAAGGGGCTCCTACCCCAAGTGACAATAAGCCCAATAGTGAGGTCTGCAGTCACAGTAATAATCTACTGAATCACTTGCAGGTACAGATACTCGGGGGTTTTCATCAGATGCTGGAGCATGAGAGCTCTGGCAGCATGAGTACTCCCAGTCCCCTGATTGGGGGGGGGCTGTGATTCAGCAGCACGCAGTCCTTCCTACGAGTTAGCATTTGAAGCTGAGAGTAGAACTAGACTTGGAGGTGAATAAATTTTCATCATTATCAAGAAATCACATTATACATTATGATATTTTTCTCATAAGCAGAATATGAGTAATTTTGGCTTTGGTGCCCTGGCATAACTAAAATTGGAATAATTGTTCTCTTTGTAACTAAATCCCCTTCCCCCAGTGGCTATGAGCAGCTTAGAAGCCACAGGAGAGAGAAGCCATGACTGAACATACCTCCCAGGGTGAGATAAGGCATGACCTTCAGCTGAAAGCCTTCTTACTCTGTCACGCTCTCCCATGTTTTTTGCTTACATCTAGTCAGAGGCTGGCTCACGCTACAGCTTTTACTCCTTGGGGACCCCGATAACATCACTCCGTATTGCCCTACTACTGTTTCCACCAAACGTCCAAATACAGCAGGCAGTCAGCATCCGTTTACCAGTGCACGAGCATATTTCCCCTCCTCCTCCCCACCTGCCTCACCATTCACCAGTTCCTCCCTTTCCAGTCCTCTGCTGGCTGGCACTGGACAAAAGAAGCAGCAGCTTTATCCAGGCTGTGGCTGGCCAGGCCACTACAGCACCTGCGAGCTGCAGCCCACTGGCCCGCCTGGGTTAGGCGGGGTGCAGGCCTGCCCTGCAGGGCAAACCCCGCACAGCTTCCCCGAAGCGGCCGCCTGTGAGGTGGGACCCGCAGAAGTTCCTTCCTGCAATAGACCAAGTGACTGGGTGGGGACATGGGCAGCACCAACTCAAGGCATGCTTGAGGAAACAGGGCTAGAAATTAAGGTAAGTCTTCACTGTCTCCCCCCACCCCCCTGAGCTGTGTACCTATTAGACTATTTTTGTTCTGAAGATTGTAAACGTAATTTTTTAAAAAAATCATAAGGAAAAAGCCACATGGCAATTTCAGAAGCTTGAAGTAAGTCCGAACGCAGTACACTGTAACTACGAGAGCTCCACTCCATCACCTGTCCAGTGGCATGATGTCCTAGGCAGCCCCACACGCTGTATTTGGCTGTTACACCTTTCTCCGCCCTACTGAGTCATCACCAGGGCTGCTAACGGCGTCACAGAAATGGAAATGTACGCAGAATATTGTGTATATTTTGTCATCACACTAATTGCATGTATTGTATTACAGAACACCAGTAGATGTCAGTTTAGCCCCAAAAAGTGAATGCCTGCTAGCTTAGTGTTTTGCTTTTACAACAGTAAGTTTCCACCAAAGAAACTAAACAAAGTTTAGAAGTTGATGTACATTTAAAAGACTGTTAGCCATATTTTACATACTGTAATATGACCTCAGTGCGTAAAATAAGTAAACCTTAGTGTCACCTTATTTTTCTCCTGTCTGGAAATTGTAGGACTTGCACACATACAAATAATTATTTTTTTTTTTTGGTCATTTTGCATATACTGATTTATTGAGGCTAGAAGAGAATTCCTATGAGTTTTGATCATTTCAATAATACTAGATATTAAGGAGAGTTGTGCCAGAATACAGTTTCAGACCAGTAATCAATGTACAAGCATAGATTTACAGAGAAAGCAAGGTAGATGCATCAAGTCAAATTATCAGAAAGAATGATGGGTTTTTTCCCCACTGTTGCAATGGCTCATTCAAGTTGCAAAGCAAACAGAACAAGAAAACACAATTTGAACAGTTAGTACAGGCAAAATACAGCCAGCCATTTTGGTATTGCGATTGCCAGTCAATATCCTGACCTACAATGACAGCTAAAATTTAAGCCATTCATAGGATTGCTTTTCACAATATAAATATTTTAAAAGAGAAACGGTAAACTCAATAGGGTTCAAGAAAAAAAAAAGACACAAACAGCAGTGCCATGTAGAAAAGTAACACTTCCAAATATTTTGGAAGATTATATTTAAAGTAATGAACAAACCCAAACCAGACCAAAAATCCAAAATTGTCATTTCTACATAATTCACTGCTGCAAACATCAGTTGGTTGAAGAAAAGCTACTCCAAAGTCCCAAGGGCATGAACTTCCCAGTGGGATCAATACTGATGAAGAAGAAATTATTTACCCTTACAACATCAGGTAGTACTCAATCAAAAGTCAGCTTCTGCCCGTGGGAATGTTGACTGCCTGAGAAAGCAGAGCTTGAGTTTTGATTAAAGTGGTGTAGCTTAGCACTGATTTTTCTAATTCTAAATATTTTCTCTGAGCCTCATAGCAAATTTAGCTCATCTGTGAGCTAAGTTCTTTTTTATGTAATTTTGTGTATAACACTGACAAAAAGTTAACGAAACTGGAGAGGATTTATATGTAATTAGTTAAGCGAGTCAACAATCTCTTCCCCGCCTGTCCTTTTACCCTCCATTATCAGATACTGTTCTGCTAGGTTGTTACCGCTAAAGAATTTGGATAAAAAGTTTTCCAAGAAGTAAAAGAAGTGAAACTAATTTAATTGTACATACTTGTCAAAACAATTAGTATATAGAATGCACAGGTTTTTCTTATGCTTCTCCTTAATTAAATAATACTGATATGAAGATCGGTATTTAGTCCGAGTATTGAATCTCTCATTATGGAATGATACAATTTCTTCAAGTTTAGAAAATTATTGTCCCAAATAACTCACTAGATTATAGGGGGAAAGTACCAAATGGTAAAGAGCTTTTTAATCAAAGAGAGAAAAGTATAGTAAAAACCTATGTTCAGAGGGCTGTGACGGTCTGACAAATTACAGTCAATGTCTCAAACATTGTTAAGGAACTTTGGTGGAAAAGACAGACTTTGTAAAAGCGCTGGAGTTGTGTGAACAGGATGATGTTGTCGGAGGGCCGCACAGAGGGTGGGACCGTGCTTCTCCAAAGCTGCAATTCCTTATCTTAAGTGACCATGAGAAGGAGCACAGCGTATGCACCTGGAGGAGGGGGCCCCATGGAGGATGAGACTGTGCTTCTATCTTAAGTGGTCACGCCAGCAGGGAAAGAGAGGCAACTCCCCAATGACACACACAAACCCACACCCACACACACCGATGCTCACCGACCGATTGAGAGAACCGCGGGAACATGAACTGCACGTGTCGAGACCACCGACTGT